AGATGAGAGATGATCTTTCTCATGGACACCTGGAGTTTTGGAGCTGTAAGTGTCCTAGGGGCTATCAGGAGAGAGAACTTGCCTGAGAGTAAAGCAGAGATTCCATATCCTGGTGACACTCTTTAAGTACCTGGATCCAGCCATGCCTGAAGCTGGACATACCTAGACTTTTCTAAGAGCCAACTTCTTTTTCACCCAAGTCAGTCGGAGTCAGGCTTTCTGGCACCCATCTAAGAAAGCTGGTTAACAGAAAGAAAGAAAGAGAAAACAGGAGAGAAAGGTGGAGTGTGGCTGAAGTATAGGTGTCGGTTGGGAGAAGTGACAATGAAACATCCTGGTTGGATGGGGGTTTAAATGACATTTTATGAATGGTGACGTCAAATATTCCATATGAAATGATTTTCATCACTCTAACATAATCCACATCCTCTCCTCCCAAATTACCAGTAAGGTCTACTATGCTCAAAAATATGTTGTGGGCAGGGACTGGCGAATGGAATTGGAAGCAGCAGCTGAGTCTCTCGTCTGAGATGAGGTGGCAGGAGACTGAGACCAGCTGTGGGGAGGCAGGAGCCCCGAGGCTGAGGTGGCTGTGACGGACGGGCAATCCTCCATGGTGAGCTGAAGCTGGGCCAGGTGAGCCCGCGGGTTCCAGGCCTGCAGACCCCCTTGTCACCTGGAATGTTTCTATTTGATTTGGGGCCCCCACAGCTCGGACAGCAGCAGTCACTTCCTCGGGCCCCCTCTGCACATAGCACACTTGTGTCCTGACGTGTGCGTTCATGCCCTGCTTGCCTCAGGCCCAGGAGACCCTCTGAGGGCAGTGGACACATCTGTGCCATCTCTGCATACCCAAGGCCTCCACCCAGGGCTTGGGCCACGGAAGGTGTTTAGAAAATGTTCTAAAACCAATAAATGAGTGTCTCCAATTGCTTAAATATTTGCTGTCCATTCTCTTAGGCTCCTGGTCCAGATGGCCAACTGAGGAGCCCTGGGAAGCTCCCTTTCCATCTACGAATGGACAGCAGTGCTGGATAAAGTATAACCATTTAAAGGAACACAGAGTCAAAGTCAAAAACAAGAAGGGAAGGCCTCCAGGCTGAGCGGGAAGCAGAAGACGGAGCTGAAATGCCCATGGGGGGTCAAGACAGGGGTTTTAATGTGCAAGTGGGGACAGGGGCAGAAGGCCTCGCATGGCGAGTTAACAGAAGAAGGCATCTTACTAGTGGAGCCAGGGCCATCCCGGGGCTGTCTCATCCACAAACAGAGCCGAGAAAAACACCACTCAATGGCCTTGGGCTGCTGTCCCCAGGTGTGGAGCTCAGCTTCTCACTGTCTGTGTAAATAGGAAACTTCAAACTAAAAGCGAATTTAAAAACTGGCCCAGAACCAGGCTCCAGTGGAGGCAGATGGGAACCGCTCTGCGGGGAACGCCACAGCCCTGGTAGGTGGGACCCTCCAGGATCATGGCTTCTGCCAAAGGTGGGCTCCCAGTCAACAATCACAAAGCCCACTGGGAACTCATCATCGTGACAAAAACAGCAGAGGGAAAACAGCAGAGAAACCTCAGCTGTTACGGCAATCCCAAGGAGCCTGTGCAGGACGGTTGTCTACAGGGGAAAGAGGCACGGGACGGACAGGGCCCACAAGCAGGCTAGAGGAGGAGGTGAGGTTGGAAAGAGAACCACACAGAGGTCTGAGGAATGAGAGAGCCAGGAGACGTCACTTTCGGAAGGTGGCGGACTCGGCGTTGGGAAGGAACGGAGTCCCAGGTCAGCGGAGTTTGGCTGTGCCGCTTCAGTAACATCTCCCCCACGCCCGAGGCTGTTTCCTCATTTGAAAACTGGTGGCACAATACCCAGCTCCAGTGTCAGGAGAGGATCAGAGAGTCGGTTTCTGTGACAGTGCTTTGAAAACTGGAAGATGCCAGGAAAGCGTGTCAGGCTTTTATTCTAACCAAATGGCCTCAAGCTGTCATTCCCAGGGGGGTTCCAGTCATTGTGCTTCGCCCCCAAGACACAGCTGCGGAGCACCTGGAGGCATCCTGGAGCGATGTCACTTAGGAGGGCGTGATGGGGTTCCCGTCTTCGGGGTGGGGGCCTCGTACTCCACCAGCTCCTCCAGACGGCAGGGGCCAGCAGTGGGCGAGGCGGTCCAGCTCGATGCAGGGCACACCTGAGTTCCTGTACTTGTCACGCAAAAGCCGGGGTAGCATCGTAGGCCACAGCCGCTCTCCAGCCAGGAAAACGTCCTGCAGACGCTGCCGGGGTGGGAGAGTCCAGGAGGAGCTGTGCATGTTGCCAAACTGGCCTGGGGTACGTGGCTTTGGGCCACCTTGGCTGGGGTGTGAATCCAGGCCTGTCACTCGCTGAGCCGTACTGGCAAGGTGCTTCCTCTCAGGCCTCAGTTTCCTCATCTGTGAAATGCAGGTAAGAATACCTTTCTCCTCGGCTGGTGGAGAGGCTGCTTGGGCTGACACTGGGTCGGTGCCTGGCCTCAGGCCTGGTCACAGCTGATGCTCGATAAATGTCCTCGTCTGCTGTGTCCTCTCTCCTTTCTTTTCTTCAAAGAGGGAGAACTTTGGAGCAAGGCAACCCACAAACCTGCAAGCTCCGGCCACAGAGAACGGGGCTGGGCAGGGTTTAGGGGGCATGTTTTTACAGGGGCAGGGAAATGGGTGACAGAGCCATCACCTAGTCACCATGTGACCTTCATACACTGTCACTCAATCTCTGGTCCTCAGTTTCCTTATTCACTAGGCATCTTCTCTGGAGCCTCTGCAATATGTGCTCCCCATTTTCCTTACTAAGAGAACCCCAAGTTAATTTGGGCATCAACATCACCAGACTCTCATGTAGACCAGAGCAGTCACACGACCCAGTTCTGGCTAAGTTGATGGAGATGCAAGTTCTGGTGGGAAACGGGTATCTCTCCATGAATCGAAAGAAAATCCTCCCCATCCCCAACGTTGCCTGTCCTCCTTCTTACACCTGAACAGCAGGCACAAGGACTGGAGGTGCAGCAGCCATTTTGTAACCATGAGTCAACAACAAAAAAGTTCAGGTGGAAAGAAAGAACCCAGGCTGTAGGGGCAGGCAGACCTTACTTTTCCACTTTCTGGCATGGGTGGAAGTGGCCTTGGGTACATTACTTAACTTCTCAGAGCCTCACTTCCCACAATCTGTAAAAGGGGGATAAAACTTCTCCCTTGCACAGTTCTCATGAGGACTGAATGGTGCAATGGATACAAATTCACTTTTTCTACTGTAAAGGGCTATCCCCATGTTTGTAGTTACTCTTACACTCATGCTGTAAAGGACAGTTACTTTAGGGCAAAACAAAGACAAGACCCTTTATTTCTCCTCTCGGAGAAGGTTCCAAGGTTGGACACGGGCCTCCAGCCAAGGGGCCCTGCTCTTTAGTGGATCAGCTATGCAAACAGGAAGTGACTATCCAAACATTTGGAGCTGCAGGAGGCTGGCCCAGAGTGGGCCTCCTCGGAGGGCTCCTTCCACCATGGCGCCTCTCATCTGCCAGCTGTGAGTGCCTCAGAAGTCAAGGACACCACCCCTCCTCTGAGAAGCCAGGTTCAAAGCCCCCCTTCCAGCTGCCCCGCCCACCAGCCTGGGCCAGACACCTCCCTTTCAGGCTGCAGGAGGACCACAGCCCCTCCCTGGGCTCCCTACTCTCTCTGGCTCTCCCCCTCCTGCCCTCTCTTTGTCACAGCTGTAAGCCAGGGTAATTTTTGTTTGAAATGCAAACCTGCTCCTGTCACCCCCTCACTTAAAACATTTCCATGGTTTCAGGCTCTCTTGAGGAAAAGACTGAAGTCTCAGCCACGACCTCCCAGGCCCCGCATGCACAGGACTCTACCCGCCTCTCCAGCTTTACCCCTCAGCCACTCTGGCCTCCTTTTCGTTTCTGGAATGTACCAAGGTCCCTCCTGCCTCAGGGCTTTGCCCATACTGTTCCCATTTTCTAGAACACTCTCCCTTCTCTGCCTCCCTGGCTCATCTCGCCAAGTAGCATCCCCTCCTCAGCTCTCAGCAAAGGCGTCACTTCTTCAGGTGCTGGCTGAGCCTGCAGCCAGCAAGACGAGGGACCGAACCGATCCTCCCCCGAGCCTGCTGCCACACCTTTAGTCACATGACATTCCCACAGGCCGTGAGTGGCTGCTCAGGGCAGGGACTTCAGGCTGTCTTGTTCACAGTCACACCCCCGGCACCTGGCACCCAGTACAGAGTGGGTGCTCAGTAAATGCGGAAGGCAGGCAGGCAGGTGTGCCTTATGATTTGTAAGGGGCTCTGTTTACTGAGCACCTCCTGTGTGCCAGGCAGGCCCTCACAGCTCTTCATAGCCACTCTGGCAGGCAGGGACTCCGATCCAGGTTTCACCAAAGAGGAAACAGAAGTTCTGAGAGGGGCAGTGATTGGCCCAAGGTCACACACCTGTCAGAGGCCCTGCCAGGATTTGCACCTTGGTCCCTAGCCCAGCTTCCTACCCTGGTGGAGCCAGCACCAGGGATCATTGGACATCTGTTTCCTCATCTGTAGATTGGGGACAGCACAGTACCTACCTCTCAGGGCTGTTGTGAGCATTCAGTGAGTTAAGCCACCAAAGCGCTCAGCTCGGGGCCTGGCACACGTTAAGTGCTCAGTAACCGTCAGCCATCGTCTTCAGTATTACTGTGTTGATCAAAGCCAAGAGCAGATCAGAGCGACCCAGTCCTACTGCAATCCGTGACCGGGCCAGTGGAGGGGCTCTGTGGTGCTCCGGCACAGGAATGGGTAGACGGATGCACGGACGATGGGCGCGTGGGTGGGTGGGTGAGGGGAGGGCACTGGAGTGGGTGAAAGGACTGAAAGCAAGAAGCGACGGACGAATGGCGGAACACAGGCATGAACGCAGGAGCAAACGGGGGACACAGGCACGCGTGGGGGTGCACACGAGGTTCGGGAGAACCGGAGCTGACCTAGGCCCTGACCCACGCCCGCGCTCACCTGTAGCGCCGCAGCTCGCCCTCCAGCCGCCGCACCCAGCGCTGCAGGCCGGGCACCCGGCGCGCCAGGGCCTCCAGCTCGCGCACGCGGCGCACGCTGCGCTGCAGCGCCTGCCGGGCCTGCTCTGCGCGCCGCCGCACCTCGGCCTGGCCCTGGCGCAGCCGCCCCGCGCGGGCCTCGGCCGCCGCCAGGGCGCCCCGCAGCCGCAGCTCCCGCGCCGCCGCCTCCGGAGCGCCCGCCTGGCTCTTCCAGAGGCCGACCTGCGGGGACAGGGCAGCAGGGCGGCGGTGAGCGCGGGGCGCCAGCCGCCCGCCGCCACCCTGCCCGCGCCCCTGGCGCCCCTGGCGCCCCTTAGCCAGGCAGCGGGGCGCGTTCCCTGCGCGCACTGCTGAGCGGCGCCAGGCGCGTCTGCGCTCGTTAAATCCTCGCAGAAACTCTTAAGGAGGCAGCGCTCTAATTAGCCCCCTTTTTGAATGGATGAGGGAAACTGAGGCACACAGCCCGTATGCGGTCCTTTGCACGGCACGAAGGAGCCCCAAACTTCACAGCTCTTCTCGGCCTTCCTCCGGGATTCCTAGCATTCAGTCTCCGCGGCTGCTCTACCCTTAGACTGGAGCAACGACCTAAGCGCCTCGGACTAGCGTTTCCGGCCCTCACCAGTCTACTCACTAGGCTGTCCTTGAAGGTGAGGGTTCTGTCTGTCTTGTTTACTGCTGTGTCCCCAGGGCCTAAAACAGGCCTGGCACGGTAAGTGCTCAATAAACACCTGGAGAATGAATGAAACCGGACGAGCTTGCTTCACGTCCTGCGAGTACTGCCCATCCCAGGCCTCTGCTTACCCCGTGTCCCTTGGCCACTGGCCCTTGTCCGTCCACAGCCACCGCCACCGAAAGCAGCACCTTGCTGCTCTGCACACCGCAGCCTTCTGGGGGCTGCTCAGGGCTGGTGCCTGGGCTGTGGGGGCAGTGGGGCTAATACAAGGTTAGCTCCCTACTTGCCTGTGGTCTCTTGGGGCAGAGGCTGTTCTTTTTCCTCATGTCACCCCCTCGCTCCCTTGGCACATGGCTGGGCACAATGTGGAAGTGTTTGTTGACTGAATCCCAGATGCTGGGCTGGGTCCATATCTCACTCAGTGCTTCGTTCTCAGTGTCCCAAAGTAGGCCTGGGCCCCGCAGGCCAGTGATGCCTGATGGACAGTGACACCGTCAATTTAGCACCTGGACACCAGGCCTGGCCCTGAGGGAGGCCCACCAGTATTGAACGCCTGCACAGAGCTGCCCATCTACCCCATTAGGCAGGGAGCTCCTTAGGGGGGGGGACAGGGCCTCCTTGGCGCCTTAGCCCCCAACCCCACAGAAGCCTGCCGCCGCGGAGAGCTCCCGATGTTGGCTGAACGGCTGAATATCTGAGACGGCCCGCGTTTCCCAGGGAGGTTCAACTGCTGGGTTAGAAGGGGCAAGGCAAGAAGGGGAGAGGGATGGCGTGCGGTGGTTATCTGGGTGGGACTGGGGTTTTGCGGGGTAGGATGGATGTTGGGAACAGGAGGGGGTCTGGAGCGGGTTGGAGTGGAATGGGGTGGGACAGGGACAGGATGCAAGTAGGCTGAACCACTTCCCGCAGCAAGTGGGGCTGCCCTCTCTCTCCCTTTCCTCTTCCTCTGCCCAGTCCGGGCCCTGCAGCCAGCCCTGCAGCCAGTCGGCTGCTCAAACGACCCCTCATCCCGTCACTACCGACCGCCCCCCGCCGCTGCCCCCCTGCGCCGACGCGCACCTGCAGGGCCAGGCAGCGCGCGTCACTGCTCTGCAGCGCGGCGCGCAGGTCCTCCACCAGCTCCCGGAGGCTGCTGTTCTCCTCCTCCAACCGCGCCAAGCGCTCGCTGTCGGGGCCTCCGTCGGGGCCGCCGTCGGGGCCGGGCGTGCGGGGCGGCCGGCGGCGGCGGCGCGGGCGGCGCAGGCGGATCTGCGTCTCGATGTGCTCGCTGAGAGCTCCGCGGGGCAGCCGGGGCCCCGCGCGGGTGCCGAAGTAGCCGCAGAGGCGCGCGTGGAACTGGCGGAAGGTGAGCTCAGGCGGCTCAGCGCTCAGCGCCAGGCGCGTCTCCTCCTCGTCATCTGCGTCCCGGTCGGTAGCCAGCCCAGAGGCCGCATCCCCGGCGGTCACATTCCCGGAGCTAGTGTCTCCGACAGCCGCATCCCTAGTGGCCTCCCCGGCGGCGGCGGCCCCCTCGGCGCGCAGCCCCAGCACGGCGCAGAGCGCGCGGAAGTCGGCGCGGGGCAGGCGGCCGGCGCCGCGGCAGTCCAGATGGTGGAAGACCTCCTGCAGGTACTGGTCCAGGCCTGTGGCCAGCACCACGATCTCGTTCTCCACGCCGCGGTCCAGCCCGTAGTGGTGCGCCAGGGCGCTCAGCAGCCACTGCGTGCGCCGCGCGGGTCGCTGGTACGGGTCACCCGCTGCGCCCTCCATGCTGGCCTCCGAGCCCGGGCCGCTCGGCTCCATCGCCGCCGCACGTCGCTGCTTCAGTCCCTCCGCCCCGCCACTTCCAGGGGCGGCCCTAGAGTTTCTGGAAAGGAGGGGCTTAGCGGTCGCAGTCTGGTTGGAGCGGCGCCGAGGACCGTGTCCAGCGGCTGCGCTGGCCTGGCAGGGAGTCTGTTCACCGGGTTGGTTTGGAGGGGGCTGGGGTAGGGGGCTCAGGAGCCCCCGAGACCCCCCGCAGGGCCGCTACTGCCTGGTCTTCCCCCTGGTCTGGCTTCTCCGGGTGAACCCCGCGCTCTTCTCTCCTCACTCCCGAGGCGTTCCTGCCGCCTCCTCTCTTCCTCCCACTCCCGGCTCTGTCCGCTTTCAATTCCCCCACCCTCCGCCCCACCCCTCTTGCGCGGAGAGTTTGCCCTGGGACGGGGGCGAGGGGTGGCCGCAGGATAGGAAGCTGGGGGAGGAACCGGAGGGTGGCAGTTTGGTCCGGCTGCTGGGGGCGTGTCCCCTACGCCCGCGCATCGCTCCACCGGGTCCCCAGAAATCCCTTTGAAGGTAGCCCCACGAGCTCGCTCCCACCGTCCTTTACCTCCGTAGGTACAGAGGAGTCCCCCTTCCCTTAAACTCTGATACTGGATTCCCAAACCCGCATCTCGCTCCACGATAGACGGTGCAAAGAGCCTCACGTGATAGCTAGAGCAGAGGAGAAACAGGCTAAGGGGCTGCGTTAGGGACATTCCGCTGGGAAGAAACCGACCTGAGATGCACCCTGGCTCTCTGGGCTCTGTGTGCGTGTTTTGGGGGTGGGAGGATAGGAAAGCGGTGGTCTTCCGGTCCCGACCTTTGTGCTTGGGGATGGTGAGTTGGCCATGCCGCCTGAGTTCCATTTCTGAGCTGGGGTTAGACTGACAGGTTGCTGTTCCACCAACATTTCCTCTGGTGCCTTAGAACATTTCGGGAAGGTGAAAGAAAAACCAGCTTCTCAGGTGAATGCTGAGCTGTTTTTCCTTTCTTTTTCACAAGAGAGGCGTCGTGATGGCCTCACCTGTACTTGCACTGGGAACGGTTGTCCAACCACGTCGGGGCAAGAGGCAGACTTTCTTCACCTGTCCTGGGCTATAAGATGGGCAGAATCTGGCCTTGATACAACTCTAGGAGTTGAAATGCTAAATCCTGGAATTTGAAAAAGCACTGACATTCTCTCTGCTCTGCAGCAGGATCCCAGAATCAGCCCTGTGTCCGGTCCGCAAATTCCCACTCATTCTTGAACACTTTGCCGGGAAGGAGTTAGATGCTCCTCCCCAGCCATTTTGGACATACATTTTACTAAGATTATAAAAGTAACAGCAACTTGACAAAAAGTTTTACATCAGTTCCACTTCTTGGCTTCTAGCTTAGAAAAACACACGTGCACAGGATGTTCATTGCATCATTGTTTATAACACTGAGAAAGTGGAGATGACCTGGTGCGGGTCAGTACACTAGCCAGGATGAATCACCAAAAAAGGATGAATGAGGACAAACAAGTTGCAGCATATTGTGTACAACGGTAGTACTTATACAATGATCACAAAACCACACAAAACAGTATGAAATGTTTTCACTGAGGACAGGTGTGTGTAAGTGCACAGGAAAAGATGGAAGGGTTCACAGACTGACTCTGTAGTTATTTCTGGGGACTGGAGTGTTTGACTTTCTTCTGCAAGGTGGGTTTTTGTTTCTTCCCTTTCATTTTCTTTTTTTTAAGGAGACGAGATACTTTGCCATTTACATACCACAAAGTTTACCCATTTAAAGTGTGGAAATAAATGGGTTTTTATTATATATAGTATATAACCATCACCACAGTCTAATTTTAGAACATTTTTATCACCCATCCCCCAAAAACCTTGTACTAGTTAGCCCATCCCCCCTCCACTTTTCCACCTTCTACTCCCAACCCCCAGCCCTGGGCAACCACTGCTTTCTTGTTCTATGGATTTTTTTCTATTCTGGACATTTTGTCTAAATGGAATCATACAACGTATGGTCTTTTGTGACTGGCTCCTTTCTGAAAACATTCACAATGTTTTCAAGGTTCATGTATGCTGTAGAATGTGTCAGCACTTCATCCCTTTTTATGGCTGAATAATATTCCACTACATGGATAGACCACATTTTGGGTATCCGTCCATCACTTGGCGGACATTGGGTTGCTTCCACGTTTTGGCTCCTGTGAGGGATGCTGCTGTGAGCATTCATGTGCGTGTTTTTGTGTGTCCACATATGTCCATTTCTCTTGGGCATGCACCTGGGGGTGGGATTGCTGCTTCTACAGTAGTTTAACTGTTTGAGGGACTGCCAAACTGTTTTCCAAAGTGGTTGTACCATTTTCATTCCTACAGCTGTATATTTTGTGTGTTTCTTGATGTATAAAGTAAGACAGATGTTTTCAATCTTGGACTCCCACTCGCCCACCCACTTCCTCCGTCTCAGCTCATGGTGCCTCCAGCCTCCGTCAGCAAATCCTTGCCAGCTTGGGTTCTTCTCTCATTTCACCCCCCTCCCACCCCATACCCACTCTGTCAGGCTGCCCAGTGCTCTACCTTCAGAACATACCCCACATCTGGCCCTTCTCCCCGCTCCACTGTCACCACTCCGGACTAAGCCCCCAGCATCTCTCACCTGTATCATTGCAACAGCCTTCTCCCAAGAACTGCCCTTGAACTCCTCCAGTCTGCTCTCTACACCCTCCTGTGCCCAGGACCCTGTCATCATTTCCCTCTCACAGGGACTAAAGCCCCAAGGCCCAGCACAGTTCACCCAGCGTCCCCCAGTATCCTCTCGTCTACTGCCACTGCCCCCCTCCCCAGCCTCCTCGCCGCTCTTCTCACTCACCTCAGGGTCTTTCCATATGCTCCCTGAGATGTTTACAGCCCACCCTCTCACCTCCAAGTCCTTTTCTCCAACATCACCTCCTCAGTGAGGTCTTTGGTGACATCACAGGGACTCTGCACCGCTACGAGATTCTGTCTTGCCTGTGTGTATTGTCTGTCTCCCCATAGTGAGCTGTCAGCCATGAGGGTAGGGATATTTGCTGCTTCACCTGGAATGGTGTCTGGCACACTGGAAGAAGATCGCCAGCTCCCGTCTCAGCCACCTGCCCACGGTTACCATGGGAGCGGTATAGCATTTTGCCTTCCACATGCTTTCTTTGCCTACGAATGATGTGTATTTTTTAATTTGTATTTTTTAAAAGCAGCCATTGCACACGCTACCGTTTATTTGTAGGCCTCGCATGAGGTCCGAGCTTCACAAAGCCAGGAACCTGGTGCCCCCGGCACCCAGCATGGGGCCTGGCATAAGGTAGGCACGAATAATGTTAGTTTGGATGAACACACATTTTAGTTAAGAATCAAACCGGATTGAGTAAATGGCAGAAGTCACCACTTAAATATTATCCTCAGCTAAAGACAAAGGAGGATTTGGGGGGGTGGGGGGTCAGTTACATGAGGTTGCCAGACAGTAAACAACTTAACTTCTTGCCTCTGGCATTGATTAAGAGTTTCTAGAGATAAGGCCATCCCCCTTCTTCCTGGCACAGAGAGGGAGGCATCTTCACAGATAGAGGTTTCCCTTAGAAATGTAAATGTTTCCCAACAAAGGGGCAAGCAAATTCCACTCCTCGCAGCCTGCTTCTCATCTGCAGTTTTAAAATTAACCAGCCTAAAAATCCTCATCAAACTCACTGCATCCAAAGGGAAAACCACCCCAGCTGGCGTCGGTGGGATCCCCGCATCCTTTGGCCCAGCGATGTTGGAGTCAGCAAGACTCCAAATATTGACAGTTGGTTGGATCCCCAGCTGGACCGCAGAAGCTTCTGGGCCGGGAGCCCCACCACCTGGGCTTTGCCGTGGACGTTCAGAACAGGGCTCTGGAACTGGGCTCTGCACTTTAGAGTCGCAACCCTGCAGAAGAGTCGGATTTGATTTCACGTTAGTGCTGCGAGCTGGCAACCCAGGCAAGCCCGCGGCGCCCACCGCCGCCGGGACTGCTTTCATGAAGGAATCCTTTGAACAGTGAGTTTCCTGGGCCAGTCAATGTGGAAAAGAAAGCCTTTAAATCTCTTGCCCTGGAGCCTCGCCGGCCTCCACCCCTGCAGCTCCGCGCGGCGGGGGGTCAGGCCGGATAATGGGGTGCTGTCAGGCCTGTCTGTCTGCCGGCAGTGTTACCAGGCACCTCTGAAACCATTCGGGTTGGACCCGCAAGGTTTTGTTTAAGGTTGGAAGTGAGCAAACTCAGAGGGCCCCGTGCTCTTTTGTCTGCGCTGGGGGATGGGTGTGCGTCTGCATCAGGGAGCAGAGGCTGCAGCAGAGCAATGATTTTCTGAAGTCAGTTCAGTCTTGTTTGAGTCATTTCAAGTAGTTTTGTTCAAAGTGTCTTTAAATAGCCCAGAAAGATGCTACAAAGCAAAAATCATCCACCATTGTGCTATCAAGGAGGGACCACAGGGTACTTCTGATGTATTTATTTCCACACCTTTTCCATGTATTTGGGCAAGGAAGAACGTTTAGGGGTAATGGAAATAGTCTGTATCTTCGCAGGGATGAGGGTTTCATGACTGTATCCATCTGTCGAAGCAGTTAAATAGCGTCAGTTTTACGGGACGGGAATTGGACCTCATTAAACGTCACAAGGAAACACAGTTGAAATGCTGCTGTCGGGATCTGTCTTTGCACATCCACCAAAGTTCCTAAACAGCTTCGCCATCGTTAACCTTCCTTTGCAAAGGTTCCTGAGGGCTGCTCCACGCTCCGTCCTGGGACCGGCCTGCGAGGCGCTTCATCCTCCCCCACAGACGCGCATGGAGGTTGTTTGCAGTTTTTCTCCATTAAAACAACACTGTTGGTTCTGTATCCTGAGTGATTTATAAGCTCTTGATGCTGTCAAACTGTTTCTCAGACAGTCTGTGTCACTCTGTGCAGTCCCCCGCAGTGTCTGGGAGTGTCCTCGGGCCATCGTTATTAGTGTCAAAGCTTTTAGATTTGTTAGCAGACTTAGTGGATCTGCTTTGTTCAGAAACCAAGTTTTACTTCTCTCTGTTGAAAATGGGCCTGAGTTAGGCCAAGTTTTCTTAGATACAACACCAAATACATGGTCCAAAAAAGAAAAAAAAAATCAATAAATTGGACCTCATCAAAATTCAAAACTTTTGCACTTCAAAGTACAATGGTAAAGACACCAATAAGAAAATGAAAGGACAAGCAGGGCACTGGGAGAAAATATTTACAAAACATATTCCTGAAAAAGGACTTGTATTCAGAATTTACAAAGAGCTCCTACAGCTCAATAAGAAGAAGACAAACTACCCAATGAGAAAGTGGGCGAAAGACAGGACAGGCCTTTCACCAAAGAAGATATATGGGGGGCCAATAAGCACATGGACAGATCCCAGTATCGTTAGTCATTAGGGAGATGCAAAACAGAACCACAGTGAGCTACTATTTCACCCTCATGAGAATGGCTCCAACAAATAAGATGGACAATAAATGTTTTTGAGGATGTGGAGAAACAGGAACTCTCACAGGTCGCTGGCAGGAATGTGAAATAGTGCGACCGCTTTGGAAAACAGTTTGGCAGTTTCTCCAAAAGATAAGCACAAAACTACCAGATGACCCAGCTCGTCCACTCCCAGGTGTCTTCCCACGAGAGATGAAGACTCTGTCCACGCAGAGACTGCCACAGGGATGTTCATAGCAGCAGTTTGCATAAATGTCTAAATGTCCAACCTCAACGTCCACTGACTGACAAATGGATAGACAAAGTGTGGTATATCATACAATGGAATATTATCCAGCCATAAAAAGGAATGAAGTGCTGATAAATGCTACGTCGTGAATGAACCTCAAAAACATTATGCTAAGTGAAAGAAGCCAGTCACAAAGCCGGACTGTGTATTGGATGACTCCATTTACAGGAAATGTCAAGAAAAGGCAAATTTTTAGGGACAGAAAGTGGATTAGTGGTTTCCTGGGGCTGGAGGTGGGAACAGAGATTAATTGTGAATGCGCGTGAGGGGTTTTATTAAGGGGATGACAATGTCCTAGAACTTATTTATGGCGATGATTTCATCACTTGGTAAAGTTACTAAAAACCATAGAATTCTACTCTTGATCTAGGTGAATTTTATGATATGAAGTAAACCTCAGTAAAGCTGTTCCAAAGGGTGGTCTGCTTTGGCTAGGGTTAGGGTGGCAAGAAGAAGACGGGTGTGGCTGTTTCCCCATATGCTTCCAACTGCCAGAGTCTTGGATAACTTCAGAAAGCCCTCTGGGTGCCCACGGAAGCTTTGGGGCTCCCCTACACTGGGAGGAAGAAGGAATCAGGGCTAGATTGCCCTCAGATTGCTCCCATCCATGGGAGGTCCCTTTGCAAGGTGACTTGGTGCTCCCTCTGACCCAGAGGTGGGGTCTATTCTTCGTGCTCCTGAATCTGGGCTGGCCCTCGGGACTTGCTCTGGGCAATGGGACATGGCGGAAGTGACACTGCCAGTTCCAAGCCTAGGTCACCAGGGAGTTTGCAGCTTCCACTTTTGCCCTCTCGGAACTCTGTCCTGAGAATGCATCTGAGGAGGCCAGTCCAGCCTGGTGGAGGATGAGGGGCCCCAAATGCCACACATGTGAGTGTGGCCATCTTGGACCTTCCGGCCCTGTTGACCCTCTAGATGAGTATGGCCCAGTGAGTGAGCCCAAGTGACACCAGTGAAGAAGCACCCAGCTGATCCACAGAACTGTGAGAAATAACAAGTGGCTGTTCTTTGATGCAACTAAGTTTTGGGATAGTTTTTTATGCAGCAGTAGACAACTGAAACATATGCCCCCTTTCTTTTCCTTTGACTTTGCCAGCCCTGAAGTTAGTGGACCACCTCGCACACCTGAGGACCAAGGGGCACACTTTGCTCTCATCCCATCCCATGATGCCCTGGGTCTTGACCTGGACACTGCCTCTCTCAGGGCAGTGGTTCCACATCTTGACTGTGCAACTTTTAAAAACACAGGTTCTGTTCCAGTTATTTATAATTGTGCAACAAGTCATCCCCAAACTTAGTGGCTTAAGACAGCAATAATTTACTTTGTTGATAAATCTGCAATTTGGGGAGGGCTTGGTGGAGACTACTACACATGGTGTCAGCCAGGGTGGCTCAAAGGCTGGGGGCTGGGATCATTTGGAGCTATTTTTTGGAATCCAGTCTGGAATTCTCACATGTCTGGTGGCTGAGGATGGCAGTCGGCGGGGAATTCAGCTGGGCCTGTCAGCCAGAACATCTACCTGGGCTTCCCATGTGGCTGCTTGGGCTTCCTCACAACATGGTGGCTGGATGCCTAGAGTGAGAGCTCCCAAATAACAAGGCAGAAATACATGATATTTGTATGACCTGGCCTCAAAAGTCACATGGTGTCACTTCTACCATTCTGTATTGGCTGAGGCAGTCACAACGGTCTCTGTGGGTTCAAGGGGAGGGGACTGCACCCGCCACCCGACGGGAGGAGCATCAACATCATGCCGGAAGAGGAGCGCGTGGGAGGGAATCTATTGAGGTAGCTGTCCTTGGAAAATACAATCTGTTCAGCGGTTCCTAGCTCCGCCCTTGAGGAACCAATTCCACAGTTCTGGAGTGAAGCCTCAGAATTGAAGTTTTGACAGGTTGCTGGGTGATTCTGATGCACACCCAGCATCGGGCATTGGCCCTGTGTCCAAGACCTACGGCCTCTCAACTCTGAGCTTGAGGCTGTTGCCACAGGAGTTGCTGGGGAGACTGGCTGCTGCCCTGGGTGATAATATGATCAAGGACCCTGTGGAGCAAAACTAGGCACAGGCCAGCAGGTGGGACCTGAGGAGCAGGAGGCCTGCTGTCTGTCCAAGGGAGGGCGGTGTCGCTGACCTACTTGCTCTTGTTGACAGGGCCTTTTGCGAACTGGTGTATCTGAGCAGCCTTTTTGTCTTCCAACCCCGTGTGCATCTTCTTAGCACTTCCTGGATTGTAGACAGTAGTGTCCAGGCTGCTGGAGGTATGGTGTGGGCAGGGTGGTTATGGCATTCGGTGGTGAAAGTGAGTCCTCCCCAGGGGGCTCACTGCCGTTTACTGACTTCCCCTCACAGACGTCCTTGAGGCTTAGTTTTTTTAAGACTGATTGAACCTGAGGAATCTTGGAGGGCCCCGGTCAGTGGGCAGTGTTCTGGAAAGCATGTCCCCAGCCCCTGGGGGTGGTCTGGGGAGGTGGGCACTGGGAGGCAGGGGCCCTGGGCTTCAGCTCCAGCTCTGCCACAGTTTTGCTCTTTGACCATGGGGAGGTCATAGCTCAGAGCCTCAGTTTCCCCAGCAGTTAAGTGTGTGGAGCCGCAGCTTCCGTTCTCTTGAACAAATTACTGCTGAGTGGAGCTACTCTCCCTTAACAGCAAACCTAACAGCTCCCCACTGCCCATAGTCTTAGTGCCCTGCCTGCGCTCCGCAGCTCTGTGCCAGGGCACACCCAGGCCCCCACTCCAGCCTCATCCTCCCTCCCCTGAACTTGCCCGGGGCTGCCACCTCTCTGGCCCTTTGCATATTGTTGTTCCCCCGCCTGGAATGCCTTCTCTTGCTTTCACTACCTGGCAAACCTCAGAGTTTAGCTTTTGTGACCTCCTCCGTGAAGCCTACTGCTGACCCCTCTGGCCAGTCACCTCTGTAGTGTGTCCCTCCACCCCAGCCCCCGTGGTGTTCTGTGGTCCTCTACATCAGGAGCAGCACCAGGGCTCTCTCAGCTGGGGTGGGGGCTGGAGCAGGGTGGGGGTGGGGGTGCAGGTTGCAGACAAGCCCAGGCTTTGGAATTAGATAGCCCGGATTTCAATTCTTTGTTGCCACACACTCGCTGTGTGACCTCAAGCAAACCGCTGCACCTCTGTAAGCCTCAGTTTCCTCATCTCTGAGTTGGGGCTCACAATCACTAAACAGAATCCTCATATTTTAAGGACATCAGCGACAGAAACAGAAAATCTATAGGAAAGGGGTTTGGGGTGGGGTGGGGTGATCCGAGTTTGCAGGGCCCATGGCTTCCTTTGCCTTTATCTAGGAGTGGGAGGTGGGGGCTGATGGCGCTGTAGGGAGGAGCCGGCAATCCTCTTCCCCATTCTATAGGTAAGGCTCGGGCGTATAATAGGTGCTCGCGTTCAGAGCAGGAATTCCTTAAAGACTGAGTGAGTGGATGAATGCAGGCAACTGGTTTCCAGGTTTGGACACACCTATTTGCCAGACCTTGTCTGCGCGCCTGGTCTGAGACCAGGCAGAGGCAGGAGGGCCCTCCCCCGAGCCCCGCCCCCAGAGGAGCCCCGCCCCGGGGGCCCGAGCCTCGCCGGTCTCCTAGCAACCTGCAAACACAGTTGAGCCTCGGGCTCGGCCGGCCAGCCCCGGGGGACTGACGCGTCCTCAGACCCTCTCGCCAAGGCGGCTGTGCAGCGGCTGTGCGAGGCGACTGAATCTGAGCTCAGGTTGCTGCCCAGCGCAGCCGCTCGCAGGTACCGCAGGCGCCTCGAGGGGACCATGCCGCCCCCACCTCCCCTCGCCCCATCGCTCCAGCCGGGTATCCCTTAACTTGGCCAGAGTTCCGCTTCCTTGGACCCTGAACTTGTGCCCTGAGCCCAGTACTCAATGCCCATCCGTGTCTTGCTTGGGGTTCTCACCCTCGGTGACCTCACGAGGCTCTTGCACACGCTGGCCTCTGGCCTGCTTTGCCTGTCCCCAAATGGCCAGGCCTCTCTGAGTGGAAGCTCAGGGATTCTCCCCCCCACCCCTGGTGGTTCCTGGGGAACTGCACTCCCCTGGGGTAGGCATTCCAGAAGCGCCAGATGACTGAAAGGGGGAGCAGCTGGGGCCGGGGGAGGCTGGGGTTGCTCATTATCATGGTACCTGACACCCTCTGTTCTCTGTGAGTCGTCCATTCATTCTCTAACTTTATTGGTTGCCTACTGTGTGCCAGGCAGTGTCTGAGGCCTTGGCCATTCAACTGGGAACAGGACAGGGCGAGGGAGGGAGGGTGGAGAGGGATGGGTGGTGGGGAGAGAGGCAGGGCTTACCTCCTGGGAGCAGGGGCGGTGACAGCAGTGCCTTTATTTTCTTCCAGCCCAGAGTGCTGGGCCCGGGGGTCTCTGCAGCATGTCGCTGCACTCCTGGGAGTGGGAGGACGAGGACAGGACCAGCACAGGGCCCCTGGTCTCCCCGGGCAGCTTTTACCAGACCAGGAGTGAGTGTGATGTGGAGGAGTGCCTGAAGGCCAGGGCGCAGGTGTCAGATTCTGACCATCAGTGCAGCAGCGTGGAGTCCTCAGACGGGCCTGCCAGCAACCCCAACTCTGACGTGCCCCAGGTCGTCCCCTGCCAATTCGTCATCTCATTGGCCTTCCCAGCGCGTTTTGGTAAGTGCTGGAGCAGATTTCTGACACTCTGCAAAAGGAGAGTGCACCAGTGACCTTCTCCCAAGAGTCAGGGCACCTGTGCTGCCTTCGTCCTCCACTGGCTCCCCCCAGGGGGCTGGCTGATGCCAGGAGCAGAGATCAGGAAAGAAACTGTAAGTTCAGGGGCCCTCTGTGGGCCAGGCAAGTAAGTAGTAGTAGGGGGCTCCACAGACTTAATCCTCTCGACAACCCTAAGAAGTAGGTGATGTTATTTCTGCCTTTTGCAAATAAAGAAACGACGGAGAGGTTAGGGCATTGATTCCTATAAGCTGGTTGTGCATCACTTAATTCCTTGTTTAAAATATGGACTCTCAGATGTATTGGAACAAAATCTCTGAGTGTAAAGGTATATCAGTTAGCTATTGCCACAAAAATGCTGTGTAACAAACCGAAATGAACTCGCCAACTGAGAGGCTTCAACCAGGAGTCCCTGGTTCTTCTGGCTGAGTAGGTGGGCTGAGCAGGCTGGGCTCCTGGCAGTGGCATGGCTCTGCTTCCCGTGTTCTCAACCTCCTCAGGACATGTGGGCTAGCCCAGACACCTTCTTATTATAGAAAGCCAGAGACATCCAAGAGGGCAAGCCCAGTCACCTAAGCACTTTTCAAGGCTTTGGGCACCTCCCACCTGCTCACGTTTTATTTGCCAAAGCAAGTCACGTGGTTGAACCCCAAGATTAGGGGCAGAGAAAAGTACTCCACTTTTTGATACAGTATTTTTTCTTTTTGTCTACTTGAACTATGCCCCCATGATGATGAATTTCAGCTTCTCCTTATAGTTCTGTCAATCCTTGCCTCAGGTATTTTGGAGACTATCAGTTAGGAGTGTACCAACCTTAGAAGTGAGCTATCTTCTTGGTGAATTGAGGTTTTTGTTATTATGTCTGACCTCCTCTATCTATAATGATGCTTTTTATCTTGCATCTATTGATATCAAGCAAAAGAGCCTGGAAAAAGACATCTGGTAAATACTAACCAAAATAAAATTGGTGCTTATTTGATCATCTTTAATCCTCACGTCTCTTGCAACATCTTCTAGACTTATTTTTCTTATTTCGGTACTTCCTCCAAAGACATTTACAAAACAGATTGCTGTGCAGCGAAACTATAGCTGACCTCGCACACCTGGGCACGCTTTCCACGCTAGTGTGTCTGAAGGATGTATCTTTGGCTGGATATAAAATTCTAGGTTCAATGATTTTCCTTCAGTACCTGAGTATTTATGGATTTGTTTATAAATGTTTTATGTAAATTGTTTATTTAAGACAAATGAGGTCCTACACATTCTGTTCTACAACTTGCTTTTTAAAAATTTGACGGTATGTCTTAGATATCTTAGAGGATATGAGCATACTTGTTTTTGCTTTACTGTTGTTTTGTTTAACATCTATTTAGTATTCTATTGTATATCTCTTATCCTACCCCTCATTGGTGGACATTTAAGTTGTTTCCAAACGTTTTTGGAATAACCATCCTTGTCTGTACGTTTCTGTGCGTATGTGTGGGCACTTGCATAGCCTGAATTTCAAGAAGTGGGATTGCTAGGTTTCAGATATGCATTTACATTTTTTGATAGATATTGTCCAGTTGGCCACCAAAGGGGTTGTAGCAATTGGCCCTCCCATCAAGGGGAGATGGGAGGGTCTGTGTCTCCACTGGTTGGCCCACCTTGGATTCAATCGAGCACAGACCTGTGAAATGCTGCCAGCTTTCTGGTCAGTTCCACCTTCAGGAGAAATTCTAATGCCTACCAAAGACTGGCAGGAGAAGCTTTGTTCCAAACTCTGCACAAAAGCTAACTCTTCTGGTGGTACAAAATTCACACAGAAGCAGTCTTCTGGGTGTTCAAAACTTGTAATTTTAGAACTACAGCTTTAAATACAGTCATATTTTTATAGAATGAAATTTGGATTAAATATTTATGGAGCTCCCGAAGCATCTTTTTGTGGTGTGTTATGTGTGTAAAGCCCCAGCCTGGAGGGTTCAGTTTAAGGTCAAGGGCGGGCCGAGGAGGCTCTGGCCTCTGGCTGAAGCCCAGCCTTCGTTCTGCATCCTCTTCCCACCCGCCCCACACTGAGTAGCTTTGCTCATGAGGTTTTGCTGGGCTCTGCCCTCTGCCTGGAAGGGTGGCCTGCTCTGCCCCTACAAGACTCTGCTGAGGTCCCCATGGGGGGCTCTCCCCACCACTCCCAGGCAGTTTACCTCTGCCTCCTCTGTTGTACCTCAGAACCTTGCTTATGCTGCTGGTATCACACAAACCACAAGGTGCTGGGATTTTTTTTGTTTGTTTTCTTTACCTGCTTCTTACTGCCAAGGCTAGGGTGAGGCAGGTGGAGCGTTTAAGGAGATGCTCACTCTCAGAGTCATGCACTGAGATTTTGCACCCTGGCGTCGAGTCCCTGTCCTGCTACCCTGCTGGCTAGGAGCACTGGCCCTGCATCTTACTGCCAAGGGGGGCGAGCAGCGTGGGTGCACGTGCCTCCCACAGCATCGGCTCGTTCTTGGTTTGAGGGAGCTATGGAGGTGGGTCTGCTTTTCCAGGTGAGGTTAAAACAAGACTCATTAAATCTACGTCTTCTAGGTCATAAAGGAAAATATACAAATTTGATGGAAAAATATAAGAAACAATCTAAAATGGACAAAGGTGCTGCAAAGTCTCGCCGTTTCTACCACATTGAGTATTTCCTTCTGCCGGATGATGCCGAGCCTAAGAGAGTTGACATTGTGGTGTTTCCAGCGGTGGCCAAAGTGTTCTTGGACTCAGGAGTAAAGGTGTGTGTGTGTGTGGCCTCGTGTATAGCATAATAGCAACTAGACAAAGTGTGTTTGCTTCCCCTGGAACTTGCTAGAAATGCAGGCTCTTGGACCCCACCCCAGACCTACCAAATGAGACTCTGCACTGACCTAAGAAGACAAGACTTTCTATTTAGATATTTTTACCTAGTAATTTGTTTGGTGTTTCAAAAGCGTTTGGAGCTCTTGCAATTTGTTTCTTTGTGTGAGTGCATGTGTACACACACCCGTCTGCCCACACGTGCACTCCTGCCTGTGGCCCGGCTCTGGGTCAGTGCTGGGAAGTCATTGGAAAGGACACTATTTGCAGGTAATTGCTTTGACTTTGTTTTTTCTGAGGAACCCAGAGGCGTGATGCGCCCAGTTCCTGACACCCATTTCCTGATGTGAGTTGGGACCTGGGAGAGAGAGAGGCACAGAAGTCAACAGGTGGAGAGCAGGGCCCGGCCTCATTGCCAGGAAGGGCGAGGCTGGCGGTGGCCTTTCATCTCCGACTGCTGATCCTCCTTGCCTTCTGCACTTCCTGCCTCTCGGTGTTCTTTTATGCAGACCGTGAGGCCGTGGCATGAAGGGGACAAAGTCTGGGTGTCATGGGCCCAAACTTTTAACATCAACATGACAAAGGAATTACTAAAGAAAATAAATTTTCACCAAATAACGTTGAGGCTCTGGGACAGTAAGGACAAGATTTCGAAAAAAGTTCGGTATTATCGACTAAAGGCTGCTGGGTACTCAGAAGACGCAGCCTCTTTCGGTAAGTCAGGTGTTCGTGTTTTATTTGAAACATTTCTGGAGGCTCGTGGCTTCTCACCAGTAACAGGATAAAAGCCAGCACGCCCTGGTTTCCTTCATCTCCTTTTCTTGGTGCCGACATTGGTTTCTGCATCAGTGACCCATCGTCCCGCCCAGACGCGCTCGGGCATTAGGAAGTGCTGCCCAGTGGGCAGTGTCTGTGTGCATGCACATTAGCCATCACCTCCTCCTCTGCCACCTTTCGGGACCTCGTGTCCCTGGGTACCCGCCACTGGCCTGTCTCCCTGGACAAGTATGGTGTATTCACTGAAAAAAATGAGAGGATACCAAGAAACAAAAGCAGACTACAAAATCCTACCATCCCAAGACAATCATGGCAATATTTTCATATAGACCCTCTAGATTCTTACTTGTGTAAAAATTTTATCAACGCCGAAAGTCTCCTGTTTACCTCCTCTCCAGGGAGAGAGCTGGGAGGAGTTGAAACACCTAGACTTCGAAGTTAGACAGCTGAGTTTGAATTCAATCCTGTCTCCATCTTGAACTAGCTGGCAGCCTTGGACACATTCCTGCCTCCTCTGGTCCTGTGCCCCCGAGGCAGCGCGGTGGGAGCCATCCCCCCAGGCATAAGCAATGAGGAGGGTGCGCGTTGTCTGTAGAGAATTTTACAACTGTAGTAAAATGCTGCCAGTTAGACTGTGCCGTGGTGTTCATCTAAGATGCGCCCAGTTTGCAGGGATGTTGAGAGGTAAAAGCAATGTGCCTCTTAGAAGTGACGGAGTGTGGTGCTGTTATTGCTCGTGTCGGCCACTTCCAGACGAGTACAACTATCCCCACGTTCCAGTGAGCAGAGTGAGAATGTCGCTGGCTTCGAATGAGCGCCAGTGCCAGAATCAGAACCCAGTTTTCTGTGACTGGGCCACCTTTGCATCCTGTGGTCTTCCAGCCTGTCTTCTCAAGGACGGCTGACATTGAGAGCTTGGGGCTTCCGATTTTGAATCTTTTGCTTATATCCAGGGTTTCTTACTCTGGGCACTATTGGCATTTTGGGTCAAGATCATTCCTTGTTGTGGGGGACTGTCCTGTGCTCTGTAGGATGTTTAGCAGCATCCCTGACCTTTACCCACTCGATGCCAGCAGTAGCCTCCCAGCTGTGACTGTCAACAATTTCTTCAGACATTGACAGATGTCCCCTGGGGCTGGGGGCAGGGGGAGGGGGCAGCAAAGTCGCCCCTGGCTGAGAATCACTGGTTTATATCTAAACTGCTCATTGTAACGTGCCTGTGTGGGAAAATGGGATTTCAGGTGACTTTTCTCACTTGGATCACAGGAAAGACCCACGTCCTCAGGATGTGGGCTCTAAACCACCTGTATCAGAGGTACTCAGAGTGCCGCCTGAATGTGGATTCCAAGGTCCGCTCCAGAGCTGCTGGGCCAGAATTTCTGGTAAACATCTGCCCGGCAGTGGGCTCTCATTGGAGCAGGGGTGCTGGGGCGAGTGTATCAGGAAGGCTTCCTGGAGAGGGGGCCAAGTTTGGAAGGGTAAATGGGACCAGCTGGCCAGACCAGGAAGGAGGAAGGGTGCTCTAGGCCCTGTGGGGAGGGCCCTGGGCCTTTTGCTGTGCGTGTTCTTGAAATGATAGCACCTGGTCTTCATCGAACCCCATCCCAAGCCTGGCACCACTGCCTTTTATGTGGAATCATTTTTTGCCATTAGAAAAAGCAGGGTGTGTTCATTTTGTAAGACAATTTGGAAATGGACAAGCACAAGGGAGAAAAAATCAAAATCACAGGATGCCCGACCAGAGAGAGTCATTGCTAACATCTCCCTGTGCGTTTCATATGTGGGTGCAAGATTTTAATGAAAACGGGTCTAGTGTGCATGTTGTCCTAAGTCCTGCCTTTCTTCATCTAAAAGAATATCCTCTTGAAACTGTTTCTTGGGAGTGCAGAAACCCCGTAAGAGGTTTGTTCCACATCACAAAGGGGCTGGGAGATTTACATGGATGCCCGGTGGGTTGTGTGCCAGAACTTGTTAGCTTTCAGCCTGCTGGTCTTAATGGAACATCCCAATCAAGAGTTAGCATTTCTCTCCTATTGATACTGCTCAGGGCCTGCTCGGTAGTAGGTGGTGAAGTTCATGCGCTCAGCTTTGGTGGCCCGGGGTTCGCAGGTTTGGATCCCGGGCATGGGCCTAGCACTGCTCATCAAGCCATACTGTGGCGGTATCCCACATAAAATAGAGGAAAATTGGCACAGATGTTAGCTCAGTGACAATCTTCCTCAAGCAAAAAGAGGAAAGATTGGCAACACCTGTTAGCTCCGGGCCAGTCTTTCTCACAAAAAGAAAAAGAAACTGCTTGGCTTCTCAGTATTGGACAAACACTGCATCATTTTGAAGGCTCCCAAGTTGTAGCTGACTCCCACTGTGCCCTCAACTCTTGGCCATCCCCTCACCCACCGCCTAGTTGGTGCCTCTGCCTGTGTGTTGCTCTCTGGATCTCTCTGTCACTCAGCTGGCTCTTCTCTCTGCACCCAGATTTTTTTCCTGTGTCTTCTCTCCTCCCATTGTTCCTTGACCTTTCCATATCACCCCTTTGACCTTAGCACTTCATTGCTGTGCAACTTTTCATGGCTGCCCAGTGTCTTAGGGAACCGAGTCTGATTTCTGAGTCTTGCCTTGAAGGCATCTTATAATTTGTTCCCCAAGGCTCCTTTCTCATGGTCACTCCCACCTTCACACCTGGTCTACCCCTTGGTCCTCAAAGACACTAGGATTTTCCTCATTGTAGGGCCTGCCTTCAGGCATTTGGCCGTACCTAGGAGGTTCTTAGCTTCATCTCTTTCTCCAAAATTTATCTATCCTTCGACACTGAATCCAATTCCACCTTTTTTCCTCCACGTCTTTCTTGTAACTTCCATTATCTCCACTTGTTCACTCACTACCTCTGCTCATTCAACGTATTTTTATATATTGGTCGCTGCCATGTACATGCAAAGCCCCATATAGATAGAAGTGAAAGACATGGAGGGGTCATCTCCCTAGCTGGGGACAAGGAGCTCTGGGTGTAGTCCCGGCTTAATAAGGACCAGCTCTCTGACGGCAGGAAAGTTAAAGTGTCAGATTCAATGCCTTCCTTAAAGTGGAGCGTGATGAGTAAATGGACCAACATCTGTCAAGTACTTAATGGTCTTGTTTGGAAGAGCCATTGCCAGTTGAGGTTTGAGTTTCCTGGTGTTGGAAACTTTGAAGCAGCCCCCTGGGCAACAGCTCCCGGAGGTCAGGACCTTGCCCATCTAATCCATCTCCAGCGCCAGGGGAGTGGTTGTTGCATAGTAGGTACTCAGTAAGGATGTATTTTTGATTGAGTTACTGAGTCTTTCTTCTCCTGCATTCTAGAGGAAGTGAGACATTTGGTTTTAAATCAAAGAAGCTTGTCTGAACAGGGCGTTCACATCGAAGAGACGTGGAGCCAGGAGTTTGCACCAGGAAAACTAGAAAAAGCAGGAAAATGCTTAAAGTCTCTGCATGGTGAGTGGAGACGACCTTTGAAGACAAGCTGAATGCAAGACTGTGTCCGAAGCAGTGGTCAATGATGTTGCCGGGGCGGTGCGCGTGCACTGGTGTCCTTCACGTGTGTAAGCAACTTCTGCTCGGGCTGGGTCACCCTGCCAGCACTGCTCTCACTCACCTTTTGTTGTTGATTCTTTTTCTTTGTGTAAGTTTTGTTTATTTTGTGACTTACAAAAAAACTTTTCTAACTGTAGAAGTTGCGTACGTGCTTTTTAAGAAAATTCAGTGAATATAGAAAAAGAGAAAACAAACAAGGAATAGTAATGTATAATTCCATCACCAGGAACAAAAATTGTAATATTTTGGTTATCATATTATAGCAAATTCCTTTTTTTTTGTTCCAAGACTTTTTGTTTTTAGAATAGATGATGTTATCTTGGATACATGATTTTGTATTCTGAGATTAATATGTCATCACATGCACTTTTTTGTTTCCCTAAAAACTTTCCATAAACTTCTTTTGTGGTGACTACATAATATTTTATCTGCTAGTAGTACTGTAATTTGCTTAACCATCCCCTATAGGTGTGAACTTAGGAATTTTGGGAGTGTTTTCAGTAATCTCTAATGTAAGCAGTGCTGAAGTGGACAATTGGATAGATAAATAGACTTCTCTTATTCTTTTTTCTCTATAAGGAGCTGGAGGCCTCCTCTTGCCTCCATTTGTCCAAATAATCCTAATTAGTCTGTATATTCATTCATTTTCTTATTTATTGTTAGCAAACCTTTTTACTAAATGCTTGGGGCTGGTATTATAAAATGTGTAAAGGGTCCTCATTTCTTAGTGGACTAGCATGGAACAAGTTTGGAGATGCTTGCTAATAAATATTATCAGGTTTTCACCCAGGAGGGCCTGAAAGTTTTCCCAAGAACGCCGAGGGATGTGAAAAGCTGCTCAAAACAGAAGATCTGGCCACAGTTCAGTAAGGATGGACTCATGTTATCTTGGGGATTGGGAGCAGAGCCCCTTGTGTAACAGCCCTACAGATGCCCACCGAGTGTCATGTAGATTTTTGTAACTTCAGTTAAGTTGGAGTTGATGCGATCTGGATGAAATTAAAGGAACAGAGAAAGGAATACTTGTGTTCATGAGCACATTTATCCATCAGGCATTATACTTTTCTATGCATTAGTTTCTCTCACTTAACCCTCATAATGATCACTCTGTGAGGTGGTATTACTATCTCCATTTTCTACACAAGGTAACTGAGTGGTTAAGCAATTTGCACAAAATTATAAAACTGTTATTCTTGGGACTCTTAGAAGTGTTGGTAAAGCTAGGATCCCAACGCACATCTTCAGATTACTGAGTCCACAGCCTTTCCTGCTGTGAGTGTAGTTGCCCTTGGGGCCTCTTGTAGCCTAAGAAGGGATTGGTGAAGGAGATTCCTTTGATGTTGTGGAGACTAGGGGTAGAACGGAGGCCTAGCTGGTGGCTCTGGGAATGGGATAGGAAAAACAAGGGAACATGTCATTGAAAAATCGTGATTTTTAAAAAATTGTTTTTGCATTGAATTTGTAGATTAATTTGGGAAGAGTTGACATTTTTACAATGTGAAGTTCTCCCATCCATGATCATGGTATATCTTTTCACCTAATTCAGCTCCCCCTTTATGCCTTTTTTTTTTTTTTTTTTTTTTTTTTTTTTTTTTTTTAAAGATTTTTTTTTTTTTTTTTTTTTTTTTCCTTTTTCTCCCCAAAGCCCCCCGGTACATAGTTGTGCATTCTTCGTTGTGGGTTCCTCTAGTTGTGGCATGTGGGACGCTGCCTCAGCGTGGTCTGACGATCAGTGCCATGTCCGCGCCCAGGATTCGAACCGACGAAACACTGGGCCGCCTGCAGCGGAGCGCGCGAACTTAACCACTTGGCCACGGGGCCAGCCCCCCCCTTTATGCCTTTTAATAGAGTTAATTTTTTTCTTCCTGTTGGTGTAGTGGATAATTCCTGTAAATGAATTCCTGGATGTTTTAGAGTTTTGGTTGCTTTTATTAAAAAAAAATTAGTTTCCATCATATTTTCTACTTGGTTAGAAATTGATATTACAAGCGTGGTCTGCAGACCAACGGCATCAACATTACTAGGAGCTAGTTAGAAATGCAGAGTCTCAGGCCCACCACAGGGTTACTGAGCCATAATCTGCATTTTATGTAACAGCATTACCCGGCAATTCACATGCACATTGAAATTTGAGAAGCATTGGGTTAGAGAATGCAATATCATTTCTTTTTTTAATCCGCTCACATTTAGGCCAGTAAAGAGGTTCTTAGATCTGGTCCTGATTTTTTTAACCTTCATTTATTTTTCTCTTTGTGAATTTTCCAGATGGAGTACTTCAAGAGGACCGACTCTTCCTTTGGGAGTGGCAACTCTGACGGAGATGAAGGAATTAATTGAGAGATCATCATTTAGCAGCTTACCAAACATATTAGAAAAGCAAAAAGTTCAAAGTGAGGATGAGATTTTGGAATTTTATAATATAACTAGACTTGGAAGAATTATGAAATATTTCAAATTCTGAATATTTCAATAAGATTCTGACCAATTCCATAACTGATGTCTGACCAAATGTTACTCAAAAGTAAAAGAATACCGTGTATACTTTCCCATTATCCATTCCATCCCCACCATCCATCCAGCCGCCCCACCCCATCCCATCCCATTCGCTTACCGGTGTCCTCCCATCCACCCAGCCTCTCTATCGCATCCCTTCCGATTCCACGGCATTTTTGTGCTCCTAATCCACAGTGTTGTGGATATAAGGAACATAAACATCTTTAATGTTGACTGGAGACTTTCAAATAAATAATTACAATTCTATGTGATAGAGGCTATGGTAGAGGTGGGTGCATGGTATCTGGGGGAAGCACAGAAGAGTGGGGGTCTGCAAAGACTCTCCTTGGAAGGTGAGCTGTTTGCTTCTTATAGTGGAATGAGGGAAACAGCATCTCAGGTTGTGGGACCCACTCCTGCAGAAGCACGTAACCTTAGTGGCAGACTGCTGAGAGCCAAGGATCCTCAGAAGCCACTAAATCACGTCCTCATTCTTGGCCTGGATCGCCTCACCAGTTTCTCAGCAAGCACTTGGGTTCCAAGTATGAGGTAGAAAATTCTAGAGCCGGTCCACTTGCTGCCTCCTGGGATGACCCATTTCCTGTTTGTTCAGCTGCAACTGCTACAGATCCTTTCCTTAACTTTCAATTAATCTGCTTTTCCTGGTTCTAGGTCACACTCTGAAGCTGCAGAGAGAAGTGACTGCTCCAGTCAGGCTCTCTGCGGCTGTGGGAGACACAGCTGAACAAAATTCCTTCCTATTTTCAAGGCCCTAAAAGACCGGTTCACACTTTCACATCTGAACACCTCTCAGCTCCTTCTGAGCTGTCTCTTGTCCTGATTAAACAGCCTCATTCCTTTTTTATGTTCTTTAAGCATTTTAATGAGGTTTTCAAGCCATTCTTTTTATTTGGAAATAAAGATAGAAAAGTACACAGAAAAATAACAATGTACCCACAATTTAGGTATTAATATTTTTGCCATATTTTCTCCATTTCTCACTTGTTCCTTTTTTCTTTAAGAAATAAAATGTTACAGATACAGATTAGGTCCCTTTTGGATCCCCTGCTTTTAAGAAGCATACCCTAGGGTCTGGCCTGGTGGCACAGCGGTTAAGTGTGCACGCTTTGCTTCTCGGCGGCCCAGGGTTCGCTGTCGGGATCCCCGGTGGGGACATGGCACCGCTTGGCAAAAGCCATGCTGTGGCAGGCGTCCCACGTATAAAGCAGAGGAAGATGGGCACGGATGTTAGCTCAGGGCCACTCTTCCTCAGCAAAAAGAGGAGAATTGGCAGTAGTTAGCTCAGGGCTAATCTTCCTCAAAAAAAAAAAAAAAAAAAAAAAAGCATACCCTATCCTGGCACAGAAATTGGTGTGATCCTGTCCTGCTGTCCATTCTTTCTCACATATTCATTCAACATTGTGTTGATTTTTGTTTTTATCTGTTAGAGGAATGATTTCGTACTGTACATATCTTCCTGGAGTTGCTCTTTGCACTCAACTTTGTTTCTGAGATTTGTTCGTGTCAGTATATGTAAGTCCAGCTCCTTCATTCTACCTCTGTGGAGTACCCCATCAGATGGATGGACCATCCTTCATCTGTGCAGTCCCCCACTGAGGGACACTTTTATCATCTCTAGTTTCCCGCTGCCACCAGCACTGCGATAGCGGGCATCCTTGTACAGGTCTCCATGCGCATGTGCCGGAGAGTCCAGGGCGTTTGTCCGGCGGAATTACTGTGCGTGGGAGACGCGCCTTCGCCCCTCAGAAGATGCTGCCGGTGCTACCTATTTGCTCTCGCAACAGCAGTCCCGAGAACTCCAATTTCTCCACGTCGTCACCCATGCTTGGTGCAGTGAGGGGCTAACTTCCTGATTCCTAGTGGGGTTGAGAGCATCTCATACGCTTATTTGATGACACTGTTATGTGATTTGCCTGTTTCTATTTCTTTGCTTATTTTTCTGTTGGGTTTTAAATTTTCTCTTACTGATCCGTAAACTTTATTTTTTACATCTTCTAGATAATTATGCATTGCCAGTTACACACATTGTAAACATCACAAATTGTGATCTGTAACTTGTCCCTGTACTTTAGGCATGGTGGCTGGTTTTGTACACCAGTTGATTGACTGTTCCTTTCTAGTTTGTACTTTTGGTAATGCTCAAGAAGCCCTCCCTTGCCCAGATGGCAGTCTAGTCTCCTGTGTATACTTGTGGTTTTCAAGTGTTTGTTTCCTTCCTTTAGTCTGCAGTTCATTTTGCACATGGCATGACGTGCCCAGTAATTTCATTTGCCTCCACATGGATTGTGAGTATAATTACCTGACTAGTCCATTTTCCCCGCTCATTTGAAATGCCACTTCAGCATCTACTAAGTCTCCTTATGTGTGTGGATCGACTTCTGGGCTTTCTAGTCTGTTCCATTGGTCTTTGTATCACGGAACCAACAGCTCATGGTTTTAATGACCATAGATTTATATGTCTTGTTATCTCCTTTTTCTTCCTGATCTGAGCTTGGCACTGAGCTGAGGATTTTATGTTCCTTTGCTCATTTACTCTTCTCAGCACCCTGGAAGGCAGATGCCATTGCCCCCATTCCAAGGATGGGGTAATTGAGGCTCAGAATGGTTAGGGGGCTTTCCCAGGGTGACACTTTAGGGAAGGGGCAGAGCTGGTTCTGGAACTTTGGTGCTCCAACTCCAAAGCCCAAACCTCAACCCTCCCCTGTGGTCAGAGGAGACCTGTGGTTGTAGTGCTGTTGCCATCAGGGCCACCGTCACCCCCTCTGCCCGCTTTCTCGGGTAGTGGCGGCTGAGAGATCAGGACGCCCCTCACCCTCTCCCTGCAGATAACCGACAACTCGTCTGCTGTCCACGTTTAGACGCCTCTTCTGGTTGCTGGGAAGGGGCAGCAGCGTAAAGAACAGCCTCTGCCTTCAAGGAGCTTCCAGAGCCGTCCCAAATCTCTACAGCACGTCTGCCCTCACATATGGCAGCTTGGATCTGAGCTCCTCTTCATGCTTATCTCCTCCTTTGATTTCACAGTTAAACAGAAAGAACCGGAGGGGAGAAAAAAAGGCCACAAGGGAGGGAAGAAATCTCAAGCAGAAGACGAAACTGAGCCCACGCAGGCAGGCCACTGGAAGCAAGATGCCTTCTCCATCCAGCTGGCACTCATGCCGCTCCTCGCAGGTAGCTACACCTGTTCCAGCAGTTTCTGGTTATCTCGTCACATGTGGCTAGAATGTCCATAAACAGGATGCTCACAGTGACTGAGCCCCTGCTGTACGCCACCTCATTTCACGCTCACAGCCACCTCAGCAAAGTGGGAGTAAGTGTCTCCATTATACAGAGGAGGAGTCAGAGGCACAGAGAGGTGAAGTGCATTGTCTGAGATCACACAGTGAGTAAGTGTGAAGCCAGGATTGGAACCCGGATCAGACTCCAAAGTCCAAGGAAACCTGTGAGAATAATAAATGTCGCAATTTTGTTTTCTAAATAAGACTCTGTCTTTTTATAAACATGTTGCTACAGGTTTTTACAGAAACATCTAGTAAAGGAAATGAGCAAAGGGAGCCAGTATTTATGTCCAGTTGTTTACTTCTCATGACAAACTCTGATCCTCCCGATGAGCTTGTGATGGTGGTGGCGGGGTGGTTATCATTGTCACTGTTTTCTTCAGTGAGGGATACAAACTTAGAGAAATCAAGTAACTTACTTGAGGTCACGTAGCTCGGTGGCAGAACAGGGGTTTGATCCTTTTGCTTCATAAGATCCATCACAATTTATAAACTAGGTTTTCTACGGTTTAATAAATAGTAAATAGGTACTTATTATATCCATGTTTTGATGATGGAAAGCTCAGAATATGTTTTGGGTAAAATTTTGTGACTTTGCTTTAAAAAGGGTAATATCGGGGAGGAACCCTCTTCCTTTTCTTTTTAGGGAAAATTTCAAACCTATTTCGTTGAGTTTTTGGCCATCAGGGGGAAGGCGCGCCCTCTATTGGCCAATCTGTAAAGTTTAGACATGGGGCTTTGCCGAGATGGCACTGACTTTTGCAGATGCACAGGGTAAAACCCCGGAAAGTCGGCGTCCAGTTCCACGGGTGCCAGGAAAATCGTAATACTCGAAAGCTCTTTGGTTGATGTTGATATATTACCTTTCAGTTTACACTTTTAAATGGATTTTTGAAAGTCCGCTTTCGCCTAAAGTTGGACCTTTCAGACTGCCTTAGCTTTCCCATGGCCCTGGAATCTTTTCTGGAGAAGAGAATTTCAGACACTCTTACCCACTCTCTGGCTGTGCTCCTGGGGGGCCGGGCCTCTCGCGCAGCAGTCACGTGTCCCTGCCAGGAGCACCCTCTCAGGTAAACGCTTCCTGGCCCTGGTCCCGAGAGGAACCGGTGCTCCTGTAGGCGGTGAGCTCGGGTGACCTGCTGGACTTGGCTCCTTAATTTTGCTGTGAGTGGCAGGAGAAGCTCAAATAGTCTTGGCCTGCCTGGCATGACTGCTTCCAGCAAGGCCGAGTCGGGAGGTGTCTGCACCTCCCTCTCTTTCACCTGGGCTGTCATGCCGTGTAATGTGACAGCTATTGGAAGGGCTCCGGGACTAACAGACTTTGAATCCTGGCTCAGCCTCTTACCAGCAAGTTGTCTGCTTTCTCTGAGCCTCAGTTTCCTCGTTTGTAAATGAGGGTGATAATTCCCAACCCAGAGGGCTGGAGGAAGGATCACGTGAGACAACGTGTGTAAACTGCTTCGCATGGAACTTTGCAGAAGGCAGGACTCAGAAATGTTGCTGGTGCGGACGTGGCAGCTGCTTCTGTCAGGACATCAGGGCACTGGGCTTCCAGCAAAGAAAACAGAAAGACAACCCTCCTCCCTTACACTGATGTCATGGTTTACGGTCATAAACTGAGAATTGTCTTGGCTCGGCAGGCCAATTGTATGTTTGTTTTTGCCATAAAATAATAGCATAAGATTAGCTATTCCAAAACTACCATGATTATTTTTAGTAATCATCTTCAATTTCAAATTAGGCCATTGGCTTTGAATATCTTAGTGGTAAATATCCATTGGCTAGTAACCCAGTAAGATTCTAGAAAGATTCTGTTTGGAATGAACTCTTAGGTTTTTTGCATAGTGGAGGGGCCAAACTTAGCCACGCAGGACTGGTTTGGTCGCTGGTTCCACCACTAATTAGCTAAGAGGCCTTGGATGATTGCTTAACTTCTCTGGGCCTCCGTTTCCCATCTGTAAAGCAGAGATGATAGCAACCCCACAGGGTCGCTCTGAGGGTTAAATGGCATTGAGGCACATTCAGGTCTGGCAGTTGGCGCACACGTGGTGTGATGTTGGTTCCCCACAACTTTTCCCTTACTTTGGAACACTGGTCCTCAACTTGGGCACTTGCGCCCCCCAGGGAACATTTGGCAGAATGTGGAGGCATTTTCAGTTGTCTCAAGTGGGAGTGGGGTGCTGTTGGCACCTAGTGGGATGCTGCTAAATGTCCCACAATGCACCGAACAGCCCCCACAGCAAAGAATTCTCTGTCCCCGAATGTCAGTAGTGCTGAGGTTGAGAAACCTTCCGTGGAATCGTGGCTGACACTTCCATCAGTTTCTGAATGATGATTTGAGTGTATGTTTGCGCTGGAGATTTCTTCTAAACGGGGCGAATTTTATACGAAAAGGCTTACAAAGTTCTAGAACACAAATGCTAATTAGTTATGGCTTTATAGGAAAGAATCACGTGGGAGCAGTGCGGGCTGCCCCCAGGGGAAGCATGCGGCCCCACGCCCTCGGCCGTGCAGACAGCTGCACACGCCAGCCCGACACTTGTTTTGGCAGTGACTGCTCTTTCTACTGTGGGCTTCTTGTGCCCTGGAAATATAATTACAGGCATTTGGAAAGGAATAGAATGGTCTCTTTGAACACACACTGTGTGCCAGGCGGTGTTCTTGGCACCTTCACAGACAGAATCCCTCTTGACCCTCTCAATCCATTTTGCACATGAGGAAACTGAGCCTCAAAGAGCCTCTCGCTTGTAGGTTACATGACTACTAAGAGTCAGGTCTAGGGTGTGGACCTAGGCGTCTCTCCTGACAAGTCTGGAGCTTTGCTTTTGCTTTTTTTTTTTTTTTTCTCTACGCCAGCATGTCTCCGCCTGGTAAAATGTATGGACCCCTTTTATGAGAAAAGTATTCTCACAGCTACCTGTGTGTGCCGCGCAGTGGCTCAGTTCACCTACGCTCTTCTCTGGTTGCACTATTGCAAAACTGCCATAGCAGGAGGTGTGCCACGTGTGGTTTGGCTCGAATGTACCAGTTATGTGAGGCAGCCCTGAAGGCCTAGTGGTTAAGTCCAATGCACTCCACTTTGGTGGCCTGGGTTCACTTCCCGGTTTCAGAACCACACCACCCATCTGTCAGCTGCCATGCTGTGGTGGTGGCTCACAGAGAAGAACCAGAAGGACTTACAACTAGGATGTACAATCATGCACTGGAGCTTTGGGGAGGGGAAAAAAAAGAGAGGAAGATTGACAACAGATGTTAGCTCAGGGCCAATCTTTCCCTGCAAAAAAAAAAAAAAAAAATTCCAGTTTTGTTCTACATCAATATCTATGCTTTTCTCATTAGACCACAACGGTTAAAGTGAACCACTGGGCACCAAATGTAGACACTGGCATTATTTGTTCTTGAATGCATTCTATTCTAAAATAATTGCCTGGAGCAGCATTCTCCAATAGAGCTTTCTGCAGTGATGGAAACATTCTATATCTGCTTGTGGTCACACATGGCTACTGAGCATTTGACATGTGACTAACGTGATGAAGGAACTGCCTGTTAAATTTTATTTAATTCTAATTAATTTAAATTTAAGTAGCCACATATGGCCAGTAGCTCCTGGCCATCCTAGCCACAAGTCTAGGGTGGTGGTTCTAGAATCACCTAGGGGAGCTTTCACAGGCCCAGTGTGGAGGCTGTACCCAGACCGAGGAGATCAGACTGTTTGGGGGTGGCATTCAAGCATGAGTATTCCTTATTGTATCCTGTAGGTGACTCAGGAAATACTTATAAGATGACCATCAAGATTAAATCATAAAAATTAAATTCTCTTAGAGAATCTATGGGACCTCAGTTTGAGAAAGTGGTGTGTAACATTCTGCCTGTAGGCAATTCCCAGTTCCTTTTTTTTTTTTCAGTTTTCCTCTTTTAGGCGTAATTTTATCACTGGCTCTTCTCAGGTTGCCTGGTCCCTCTGTGCCTGTCTCGGGGCTGTCACGAGTAAACGTCTAACGCTGTGTGTATTTTCTCCCAGGACAGAAAACTGTTGTGAGTCGTGGCAGTGGGAAGTGTGCCAACATTTTAGATTGTCTTTTGACTTTAAAAACAGAAGTTCCTATCATGACTGAGGAGCAAAAGCAGGACTTGAACCCTCTGACCATAACGATCAAGTGTGCCTCCTGCCTTCCATCACAACCTGTGCCCATCCATGAACTAGAGGTAAGAACGAGACAGGTGAACTGATTGAAGTCCTCCTTTTCCCAGCCAATTGCCCATTACGTGTCATCCCTAATGCCCCCAATGGCCTTTTGTGGGAAGTATAGTCATCATCCATGTTTCACCGTTTAGGATCTCACAGTGAGACTTGAAAGAGATTTGGTTCCTGGGAACAGGAGCTACCAAGTGTGAGTTCTCTCGCTACACCACAGGTGTTCTTCAAATGGAGGTAGAAATCCTCGTTTCAGCAGGAGCCCTAGGCTTCCTGTCCCAGCAGTGGTGCTCACTGAGATGCTCACTCATCTTGAACCAACCAGGGTTAGCACTGCTGTTTATCCTGGGAATTCCCTTTCCCTTCTCCCAGTGAGAGTCCCATCTCCTGGATTCTATGTCTTCCTCTTGCTTTGTTTGCTCCCTGGTTTTGCTGGAGCACATCCTCCTGTAGCTTCATGCAAAAAAGTTAATGGGAGATATTTGTTTTGAGATCGCCTCTGTCTGAAAATATATTTATTCTACCCTTAGACTTGATTGATAATTTGGCTGGGTATAAAATTTTAGATCAAAAATCATTTTCTTTCAGAGTTTTGAAGGCATTATTCCATCATCTTTTGATGTTCCACGTTGAAGCTTTGTATGTGCTTTGTGTGTGTTTTTACTTCTCTCATAGCTTGTGGAAACTTCTTTTTTGTCTTCTGAAACTGCTTAATTATGTTTCTTAGTTTGGGCATATCCATACACGTATTTATACTTTTGTTTTGAAATAGAGATTCACAGGATCTTGAAGTTGCAAAAATAGTACAGAGAGGTCCCATATACCCTTCACTCAGTTTTCCCCAGTGATTACATCTTATATAACTATAGCACAACTTCAAAATCAGGATATTGACAGTGGTCCGACATGTGTGTATGGTTCTATGTCATTTTATCACATGTATAGATTTATGTAACTGTCACTGCACTCAAGATACAGAACTATTTCATCACCACAACGATTTCTCTCATGCTACCCCTTTATAGTCACAACCACCTCCTTACCTCCCACCATCCCATATCACTAATTTGTTTTCCATCTTTGTAATTTTGTAAGTTTGAGAATGTTATTGTTATGGGTTGAATTGTACAGTTTCCCCAAAAAGGTATGTTGAACTTCTAATCTCCAGGACCTCAGAACGTTCCCTTATTTGGAAATAGGGTCTTTAAAGAGGTGATCAAGTTCATATGAGGTCATTGAGATGGGCCCCAAGCTAATATGACTGGTGTCCTTATAAAAAAGAGAAATCTGGACATAGAGACAAGGAAGACTATGTGAAGAGATGTAGGGAGGATGCCATGTGAGGAGCGAAGTTATGTTGTCCAAGCCAGGGAATATATGGGGCTGTCAGAAGCTGGAAGAGGCAAGGAACGACCCTTCCTTAGCACCTGCAGAGGGAACGTGGCCCCGCTGACACCTTGATTTCACACTTCTAGCCTCCAGAACCATGAGACAATCAATTTCTGTTGTTCCAAGTCACCCAATTTGTGGTAATTTATTATAGCGGCCCTAGGAAACTCACAGAGTTATATAAATGGAGACATCCAGTATGTGACCTTTTGAAATTGCCTCCCCCCAACTCAGCATAATGCCCTTGCATATAGTTGAGTCATCTTCCTTTATTCACCAGGTCTTTTAATGGGTGTATTTAGGCCATTTACATTTAGTGTAATTATTTATCTGTTAGAGCTGAAGTCTGCCATTAAAATTTTTGTTTTCTGTCTGTTCCCTCCGTTTTGTTTTGTTTTCTCTCTTTCCTTTTTCCTACCTTCCTGTGGGTTACTTGAACAATTTTTATAATTCTATTTTGATCTTTCTGTAGTGTTTTTGAGTGTCTCTCTTTGTATAAATTTTTAGTGGTTACTCTAGGAATTACATGATGCATCCCTAACTTATCACAGTCTACTGATGTTGACGTTTGACCAGTTTGAGTGAACTTTAGAAAGCTTGCCTTCCTTTAAATCCTTTTACCTTCCCTCATTCATAATATAATTATCGTAAATATTTCCTTTACATAACTGAGAACCACACCAGATGATGTTATACTCTTTGCTTCAATTGCCAAACCTAATTTAGAAAATTCCAGAGGAGAAGGAAAGTGTATTGTATTTACCCATAGCTTTGCTCTTTCCGTTGTTCTTCCTTGCTGATGTGCCAAGATTTCTCTCTTTCATTCTTTTTTTTATCATAGCCTTTCTGTTCAAGAACTTCCTTTAGTCATTCTTTTAGGGTAGATCTGCTGAGGACAAATTCTCTTAGTTTTCCTTTGTCTGAAGACGTCTTTATTTCTCCTTCATTCCCAAAGGATAGTTTCACTTGATTTAGAATTTGGGGTTGGCAGTTCTTTTTTTTCTTCAGCACTTGAAAAATGTTGTGCCATGTCCTCTTGGCTCCTATGGTTTTTGATAAGAAATCCAATGTCATTTGAATTGTTTTCATCCTGTAGACAAGGTGGCATTTATCTATTGCAACTTTCAAGATTTTTTTCTTTGTCTCTGGTTTTCAGAAGTTTGACTGTGATGTATCTTGCTGTGGATTTCTTTGGGTTTATCCTGTGGGGTTCACTCAGCTTTTTGAATCAGTAGGCTTATGTCTTTGGCCAAAGTTGGGGAAACTTCAGCCATTAGTTTTTTGAATACTTTTCAGTACCTCTCTTTTCTCTCCTTCTGGGACTCCAAGGACAAGAATGTCAGTTCTTTTGTTATAGTCCCTCAGGTCCCTGAAGCTCTGTTCATTTGTTTTTAGTCTATTTTTCTCTATGTTCTTCAGATTGTATAATTTCCATTGATTTATCTTCAAGTTCACCATTCTTGTCTCTGTCCATTCCATTCTGCTGTTGAGCCCATCCATTGAGTTTTTCAATTTCAGTTATTGTATTTTTCAGTTCTAAAATTTCCATTTGATTCTTTTTTACATATTCTATTTCTTTGCTGAGACTTTCTGGTTTTTTCCATGTGTTTCAAGCATGTTCATAATTGCTGTAAAATTCTTGTCAGATAATTCCAAGATTAATTGGTATTAGCATCCGTTGATTGTCTTTTCTCATTTAAACTGAGATTTTCATGGTTCTTGGTATGATAAGTGATTTTTTTTTAAAGATTGGCACCTGAGCTAACATCTGTTGCCAATCTTCTTCTTCTTCTTCTCCTCCTCCTCCCCCCTTCAACACCCCCCCCAGTACATAGTTGTATATTCTAGTGTGAGTGCCTCTGGTTGTGCTACGTGGGACACCACCTCAGTGTGGCCTGATGAGCAGTGCTAGGTCTGTGCCCAGGATCTAAACTGGCAAAACCCTGCGCAGCTGAAGCAGAGCACATGCACTTAACCACTCAGCCATGGGGCTGGCCCCAAAAAGTGATTTCTTAATTGAATCTTGGGCATAATTGGGTATTAAGTTACGAGACTCTGGATCTTATTTAAATCTTCTGTTTTAGGAAGATTTATACCCTGCCAGTGGAGAAAGGGGGATGGCTTCTGATTCCTGCCAGGTAGAGGTGGAAGTCCAGGTTCCCCACTTTGCCACTACACTCTAGGGGATGGGGACCTCACTGCTGCTCCCCACATGACCTTTACTGACACCATGGTGGTGGGGAGGCCTCATTACCACTGGATGGTGGTGAAAGATTTTGACTTCCCCAGCCTTCTCTGTTGCCTTGTTACCGCTGGGCAGGATGAAAGTCCCAAATCCCGACTCGGTCTTTTCTGGTACCATCTGAGGAGGATAGCAAGGGGCACTTGTTACAACCAGGCAAGGATGGGAGTTCAGGCTCTCCATCTGGCCTTTGCTTATGGGAGTGAAGTGGGCCTGGGGTTCTTTCTGGTGCTTGGGCTGGAGTAGGGGAGTTACTTGTCTAAAAGTTTTCTGGCTTGCTGGGCTGCCCCTTTCTTGGTCCGTTGGCCGGAGAGAGAAGACTTTTCTTGGCATTTTTCCTGCCCGCTCCCATGAGCATTTCTGGGCTGCTCTGTTCTCTAGCACCTACTCCAGAATACACGGGACAAGTAGAAACCCCAGATAACTCTTCACATGTCGTTCCTCAGATCCCACAGTCCTAGCTTTCTTCTCTCCACCTTTCAGAGCCCTCTTATGTTTGTTTTAAGTATAAAGTCCAGGGTTTTAAAGATCTGTATTTAGCAGGAGAGATAGAAAACAGTGTCTATTTCATCTTAGTCCAGAACAGGAAGTCTCTCGGTGTGCTTTCATCCCTTGAGCTGCGGACTCAGTGAGCCCTGTCAACCCCAGAAACTCAGGTCCTTCAGTGCTACAAAACTGTCCGGAATTATTCCCCTCGCTCTTTCCTCCTCTTCTCCTCTTATTTTGGAGTTCCTGTTACTTAGATGTTGTCTCTCATGGACTGTTACTCTAATTGCTTTTGTTGCTTTTTCTTCCTGGTTGTTCCTTTTTATAGCATGTGCACAAAAAAGTTAACACTGAGGCCTGAGGCTACTGTCCTTAAAAAGGCCGGCTTGAAAGGCCGGCCCTGGGCTGGTATCTGGGAACTTGTATTTCAGGAGGGTCCCCCTGCACTCCCTGAAAAGAATCGCTCTGTCCCTAAACTCTGTGCAGACAATACGATTTGTGCCGAACACCTGTTTTCCTTTGGGGAGTCTGGAATTCGGAACGCGCTAGGCAGAGGGTGCCTACACGACCAGCCCCAATAAAAACTCTGGGCGCTGAGTCTCTAAGGAGCTTTCCTGGTAGACAACATGTCCCCCGAGTCATCACAATGTATTATGGAGGCACTAAGCGCATCCTGGGACCCCACTGGAAGAGGACGTTGGAGACTCATGCCTGTGTCCTCCCGCCTTTGCGTCACGTGCTCTGGGTGCGTAGTGGGCTGTCAGTTCTGAGCTTCATTATCGAGTGATCTGGGTGAGTGGGTGGTGGGGAGACCCCAAGGTCAGTGTCTAGAGGTCTCTCCCAGTTGCCTGCTTGGAGGTTAAGGGTCTGATAGCCAAGTGACTGGAAGGGACT